GTCACAGTGCCAAAGAGCACAGGGGAGAGGAAGTAGTGTCGAGCCATCTTTGGAAACAGTTTCCACACCAACTGAACACTCTACCAGTTAGCTTGAATTCGGCTCTTAACTTGACTGGATTTTACACCATCTTTTCTTTTTTTGTACAAAGTTCAGAATACTCAGCTAGGCAATGGACACACAGAGAAAATTCAAATTTGAATTCTGGACTTTTAAAAAGTCCCAAATCAAGACAGTATCGTCAAAATACTAGTAAGTTTCTAACCAATGGTGACAAAGTATCATTGACCAAATTCAAATCTATTTTAGCTACTGCATGACTTGCACCTACATGGTTCCTGTATGTACACCTACTTCCCAGCCCCTCCCCACACAGACACTATGATACAGCATGAAAAAAGTTCTGCTCACTACTGGGTGATGCATTATATTAGTTTGGCACCTTTGGTTGACAGGAACAAATGTGTTTAAGTTAAATTACCTCACGTAATGAGAAATGAACTGCAAGAACACATGTAGAAATAAAAGGAGAGAAATTTCAGTCAAGAGGTCAGACTTCAAAGGAGTCCCAAAACTGCCAAGGTGCCGGTCACAAAGAGATGCAAAGGCAGTTCTGGAATTAGAAGCTCTAACTCGGCTCTACAGACCAGCTAGAAACTAGCTAGAAGCCAAAAGACCAGCCAGCAGCAATGCTAGTGAGCAGCAGAACTTACCAGATAAAGTATACTCACCAGCAACACGGTACCACCGAATATATGAAAATTCTGACCAATATTTCACCATGAATATAAAAAAATTTAATGAAGCAATCACCTCTGTGAACAATGATCACAAAGCATAAATATAAATTATCACGAAAGAGACAGATGAAGAAACAGAAGACATGAAGAGAAATCAGGAGGAAATGGAATGAATATGAGCTGACAGGAACCAGAAAAAAAAAATCTCAAACCCCTTTCACTACAATAAAAAAAAAGTATAAGAAGGATTTCAAAAAAGATAAATAAATGCAAAATTAAAGTCCACGTTGACAGCAATGAAGAGCATAGTCAATACTACAGAAAAATCAGTGGTGCAGAGGATGAACACCAGAACAACCATCCCTTACTACAGAGGGAAGACAGAAATGAAAATGAGGAAAAAAGAAATATTCATGGATGGCCAGAAAAGGGTGTATCAACCAATGGCCAACCAGTGTACTCAAAAGGAGGCAAGAATAAATGCAACACCAGCAACAATCAGAAGTATCAAAAAATAAAAATTCCTCAGCAGAAGAAAGAACTGTGCGTGCAGAGTTTACCATATTCCGGGAAAAATCAACTGAAGGACTGACACATTCATTTGAAGTTGATGAGGGAAAACAATAGTAGGAGCATAAAATGGAGCCAGAAATTTAGCCTGGACAAAAATGCATACCATGCAACAGGAGAATGGATAAAGAGAACGTGACATATCTGTGCATTAGAAGACTACTTAGCAACAAACGTTATGAGCTACTGATACATGCAGCAACAGGGATGAATCTCAAAAACATGTTGAGTAAAAGAAGCCAGGCACAAAAAAAGGACGTCCTATATGATTCTATTTATATGAAATCCAAGAACAGACAAAACTAAACTATGGTGACATAAATCAGAAAGTGGGTGCCAGGATGGGGGAAGGAGAGGAGAACTGACTGGAAAAAGGTGGGGGCTGGGTGTGGTGGCTCATGCCTATAATCCTAGCACTCTGGGTAGCCGAGGCGGGATAGTTTAAGCTCAGGAACGTGAGGCTGCAGTGAGCTATGATGACGCCATTGCACTCTACCTGGGGCGACAGAGTGAGACTCTCTCGAAAACAAAAAAAAAACAAAAACAGGGGGTACTTACTGGAGTGATGAAAATGTTTTATGTATTTTTGTAGGTGGTGTTTACATAAGTATATTTAAGTGTCAAAAACTCACTGAATGAAACCCCTATGGTCTTATGCTAAGATCTACTGTATGCTAATTATACAACAATAAAAATATAACACAAAAATACATAATGGGAAATCATAAAATTGGGTTAGAGGTAGGCCACAATTTGATTGTAAGCTTGCTAGTAAG